GGGAAAAATTCCGAAAGCCACCCACACTCTCCGTCTCCTCCTCATGGCGATCTCGAAGGCTTGGATCTCGCTGCTGCTCGCGCTCGCCGTGGTGCTGTCGGCGCCGGCGGCGAGGGCGGAGGAGGCGGCGGCTGCGGAGGAGGGGGGCGATGCGGCGGCGGAGGCCGTGCTGACGCTTGACGCGGACGGCTTCGATGAGGCCGTCGCCAAGCACCCGTTCATGGTCGTCGAGTTCTACGCCCCGTGGTGAGTGTGCTCTGCTCTGCTCTGCTACGGCCCCCCTGTTGATGAGCTGTGCGTGTTGGGTTAGATCTCGCGAGGTGGGTTTTTGGGGGGGGGGGGGATTTAGATCGCGAGGTTTGGGGAGGGTTTAGGACTTCAGTTCAGATGCGGGAATTGGGGAAGCTGGCGATGCGTGTGAGGCTCGGTGTTTGCCGAATTGATGCGTTTGTTGGTCTCGATCTTGGTGATCCAGTCTTAGATTCGGATAGGATTCGCCGATTCGATTGTGCGTGGACCTGTGACTGCGGATGAGCCGATTCTGTAAATTGTAGTAGATTTACCTTGTTTGTGATGTGTATGCCTGGTCTCCTAGTCAGATTTCAGTGGTTTAGATTGAGTGAGTTGGTTACTTGGTTTTTCGAGTTATAAGGTGTCTGTATCAGGGTTGCAACTGAGAATTTCGGGTGTTCTTTCACTTACACAGGTTTTAAATCCAGATAGCTTTGTAGTCTTGGTTCAATTATTCACTATTATTTTGTTTTTGTACTTCAATGTTGATTCTTTATGAAATTATGCTTGTGCATCGTGCTATTGTGTTATCTGAATCAAAATTTAACCAATGCTTGTTCTAAATGTGTCTAATTGGATAAACCCTATTCGCAGGTGTGGACACTGCAAGAAGCTCGCTCCAGAGGTATGCTTCTGTACAGTTGGATCACTTCCTTAACAGCACATTTTCACATTTTGGATTAAATGGTTTGATCCCATGTATTAATTTTCTTTGCTTGATCTGTTTCAGTATGAGAAAGCTGCACAAGAGCTAAGCAAGCACGATCCACCGATTGTTCTTGCCAAGGTTGATGCCAACGACGAGAAGAACAAGCCTCTTGCTACCAAGTATGAGATCCAGGGTTTCCCGACACTCAAGATATTCAGGAACCAGGGCAAGAACATTCAGGAATACAAGGGCCCGAGGGAGGCTGAGGGCATTGTTGAATACTTGAAGAAGCAGGTTGGTCCTGCTTCCAAGGAGATCAAGTCACCAGAAGACGCAACCAACCTTATTGATGACAAGAAAATCTACATTGTAAGACCTCGATTCAATATGACACATTCTCCAACTTATATTTTCTGTTCCGACTGTTCATGCTTTAAAATTGACTGCTGACTTGAATGAGCAATTGAAATAGGTTGGAATCTTCTCAGAATTAAGTGGCACTGAGTATACAAACTTCATAGAGGTTGCTGAGAAGCTGAGATCTGATTATGACTTTGGCCACACCTTGCATGCCAACCACCTTCCACGCGGTGATGCTGCAGTTGAGAGACCATTGGTTAGGCTATTCAAGCCCTTTGATGAGCTTGTTGTTGACAGCAAGGTATATAACTCCTCAAATATCAAACTTCATTGTTTTAACTATTCATTTGGCCACTATGTTTCCTACAACTTGTCACAGCCTTTATTGGCTGGCATTATTTTGGTTAATTGTCAATAATGTGTTGTTTGCATATCTCTTCAGGATTTTGATGTTACTGCTTTGGAGAAGTTCATTGATGCTAGCAGCACCCCTAAAGTTGTTACTTTTGACAAGAACCCTGACAACCATCCTTACCTTCTGAAATTTTTCCAAAGCTCAGCTGCCAAGGTAAGCGCTTGGCATTCCTTGCTCTCTGAAAAGCTCCATTCTTTTAATAACAGCTGGCAGTAGTTGATTGATACTGTATATTAATAGTCAATTTAAATGTTTATTTCTCGTGTTTCAAATAGACTTTGCTTAGACTGTAATATCTGATACCCTTCTCCATTCATATATTTGCAAGTTCTCACTATTAAACGCAGTGATTCAAATATTGTTCTTTAATACTCCGTATATCATTATGCCAGTAATTTGCAGTTGTTGATGACTGACACTAAACGTTACCAAATTATATGCAGGCTATGCTATTTTTGAACTTCTCCACTGGACCGTTTGAGTCTTTCAAGTCAGTTTATTATGGTGCTGCTGAGGAGTTCAAGGACAAGGAAATTAAGTTCCTCATTGGTGACATTGAGGCCAGTCAAGGTGCCTTCCAGGTTTGTTACCTCACTTTCTTATAATTTTTTTCAAACAATTATTAATGTACTTGATGCTAACTTTAAATCTGTCACTGTACAGTACTTTGGGCTGAGGGAGGATCAGGTACCACTCATCATCATCCAGGATGGTGAGTCCAAGAAATTTTTGAAGGCACACGTTGAGCCTGACCAAATTGTTTCTTGGTTGAAGGAATACTTTGTAAGTAGTCTTTTATACTTGTAAAATATAATTGTGATTATTTGTTACTATTTATGTAATTTTAGGATATTTGTTTACCTGCACAATGCTCACAAAACCTCTATTTTTAGGATGGTAAATTGTCTCCATTCAGGAAGTCTGAACCTATTCCTGAGGTCAACGACGAGCCTGTTAAGGTTGTGGTCGCTGATAACGTCCATGATTTTGTCTTCAAGTCTGGCAAAAACGGTACATACTGTTGTCCCCCGTAATCTTTTCAGTGAGATGATTTTTAGTTCTTATATTAGTATTGTGAGCGACTGATTCCTCCCTGGTCAAAAGCAAGTTTGCTATTTTTTTGTAGCTTCTTCAATTATCAGTGCTGGCAAAGCCTCTATTTGATTTGCAGCTCTCATTTATTTGCTGTTTTCTGTTTCAGTCCTTGTTGAATTCTATGCACCATGGTGCGGACACTGCAAGAAGCTGGCTCCAATCTTGGATGAGGCAGCTACGACGCTTAAAAGCGACAAGGATGTTGTCATCGCTAAGATGGTAATTTCCTTTCTATCTGGGTGGTGCCATTAGTTTTGAGTGCATTATTCATCCATTCTTTCCTATCACAAGTACAGTTCATCTAACTACTATTTTGCTACCTTGTATGCAGGATGCAACTGCGAACGATGTGCCAAGCGAGTTCGATGTGCAAGGTTACCCCACCCTGTACTTCGTCACCCCCAGTGGAAAGATGGTTCCCTATGAAAGCGGCAGGACAGCCGACGAGATCGTCGACTTCATTAAGAAGAACAAGGAAACCGCTGGTCAGGCGAAGGAGAAGGCAGAGTCGGCCCCAGCCGAGCCTCTCAAGGATGAGCTCTAAACAAGGTTTGTACACTGATCGCCTGAGCAGTGAGCATCCTTTTCACCACAATATTACTATTCTTAAACTGTTATTGATGTGCAGTGAGTAGGAGAGGGCATGGATGCTTGTGGCTGTAGACATGGAGGAGACGGGACCTGACGGCTAACATGTTTGACAGCTCCAACGCCAGATTTTGCCAAGGTTCTGAAAGACGGTGAGATGGAGAGTAGTGAGAGTGGGGGAAATAGTTGATGTTTCGGCATGTCTGTCCCATTGAGAAATACTGTACAATCAACCCGTGGTACCTAGTTAATTTTACCCATGCAAAAGTGATAGTCGGTAGAGAAGTGGTTCTGGACAAGTTGAATAAAGCTGCCTCGGTCGCATCACATCTGCTTGTTTTGTTTGGTTTATGCTGATCTAATAACGGTGATGAATCGTGGCTGTTAGTTATTCTAATGCTTACTTTGGCTCCCCGTTCCTAGTGAGGGAGTGAAAAGTGCCTAGGTGGAGAGGAATCTCCGAGCTAGCATGTGGAGGCTGAACTCCACGTCTTTGCATTGTAAATGGCCTAATAGCTCTCTGACAACTTGAGGGCGTGCGGCATGCGGGAGAACGCCGTGGCCGCGTTGTGGAGACCGTGGCTTTGCCGCGTTGCGGTTCCCCCTCACCCCTCCGAGGGGCAAATGTTGATTTTCGCAAACATCTGAATATAAACGGGTGGGATCTCCGTATGAGAAAATCTATTTTGATCGTACGAAAAAATCAAATCTGTAGTAGTGGCAGTGTTCAACAGAAGAACTTTGCATTATCAGCTGAACGTTCTTGAGTTCTTTCCTGGCTTCGCATCACGATCAAAATACAAAACTTATTGAGTTTGGCATCCATGAAATCTGTAATATTTCCATCAATGAAGAACGCAATACCTTAAGCTTTCTAATTTACCTTTTGTTTGCATCAAAAAATTTCTTTTCAGTGTACCATCTCTCCTTGAGTCACGCCTTAATTTTTTATTTGCTCCTCATACGAGTTGTTTGGTTAATTTAGGCTCATGCCCATTTCCAAGTCTCTTTCAGCATAATCCTCATTTAGATCTTTCGTTCCCCTAATTTAAATGTATGTGCAGGGTTTAGGGTCCTATGATTTTACAAAAAAACATAAATAAATAAATTTGAAGTATAATATCATTACCATATATTACGGCTTAGATATATAGCACTTTATAGCTACACTTCTTGTGAAATTAATGATGTCGTACACACACTTATTTACATTGTAATTATCATTATAAATTCAAACTTATTACTATAAATAACATGTTAATATATCTAAAAGAGAAGAAGGTTATAGTCGTACACACACAGTCACACAGACTTGATGGCGATGCTGGCTCTGCCACCGGCCGGTCACACCCGGCACACGGGATGCAATGCAAGACAAGGTGATCTGATCCGCTGGTTCGTACGTCCATGGTTTTTGCACGCATGACCGTGTGCTAGTGCTAGCCGCTTCCAGCAAGTCTCGTATGTTGTTTAAAGCATCTGACTAAGTATCTCTGACATGTTAATTATAAGTAATCGCAACATACCAAACGGGTCTAGATCACAGCCACTCTGCAATATAATGTTCTATCCTAATCATCATTTGATTCAGACCCCGTATCGATGGATCGCAGGCTGCTCAGAGCCGCACGCGGCGGCCACCGCGAGTGGCTGGAGGCTGTACTTCTGGGGGCCGCTCCGGCGCCAAACCACGTCACCGTCCACGTCGCCGCGGCCGGGGAGCCACAGCCACCCACCGCGGCGGCGCTGCTCCTGGACGTGGCGACGACGCCGCAGGGAGACTCCGCGCTGCACGTCGTGGCGGCCTCCGGCGACAGCGAAGCGTTCCTGAGCTGCGCGCGCACCATCTACCGCAGCGCCATGGCCCTCCTGGATCGCGCCAACGCGAGGGGCGACACGCCGCTGCACTGCGCCGCCAGGGCGGGGAACGCGGCGATGGTCAGGTGCCTCCTCGACATGGCGATGGAGGAGGACGAGGAGCGCGGCGGCGCGAGGTTCAGGGTGGCCGACGTGCTGGAGAAGCAGAACGGCCGGCGTGAGACGGCCCTGCACGACGCCGTCAGGCTCGGCGACGAGCGCCTCGTCGGCCACCTGATGGCCGTGCATCCGCGGCTCGCCCGTCTCCCCGGCGGCGACGGGATGTCGCCGTTGTACCAGGCGATCTCACTGGGGCACGACCGCATCGCGGAGCTCCTGCATCAGCAAGGGGGCGACGAGCTCTCGTATTCTGGACCGGCCGGCCAAACTGCCCTGCACGCTGCTGTCCTACGCGGCGCAGGTACGTGCCTACAAGTGAAGATTGATTTTTTTTTCATTTCTCGATGGGATATATTTCTTATATATCATCTAAATAGTTATTATTTTTCTTAAAAAAATTAACAGCATATATTAACATAGATTGATATGAACTATGTCACTCGTAATATCAAATTGGACTCTTACAACTAATACCAAAAGAAACAAATTCAACTTAAATAGTTAACACACATTCCTGGTTATATTTGTTTCTTTATAATTTTCAAAAGTTGATTTTTTTATTTACATATTTGTAAAGTAATATATTTCATACTTGGCTATCTTATTGTTTTTTATAACTATTTAGGGATGAAAACATTTTCTCCGCACGATCAATTTAGATCATATGAAAGACCCACACGTATACATCGACAAATACACTCTGATGAGGCACGATCAAAGAAACAGAAGCACATCGACAAATGCACCTCTTGGCATAAGCTCAAGCCAAGAGGTTGACTTTGGCGTGCCTCTTGGCTTCACTAAAGTCATATTAAAAACGTATGTGCACGTGTGAAGTGTGATTAACATGATTTACACTATATAAAACGATTTTAGAAGACACTCTCTCATTTTACTTGATATAGTGCATTATAAAATCTGCTTCTATACTTTTGGTTGGGGGGGGGGGGGGGGGGCTCATATGCAGGCACCTGTTCTACGTGCAGCCAAGTTAAGACAACAGTTTCTATAAATATTGTATTTCTATAGGCGTTCTAATATAGGTGGTCGGCTCCATGATAAGTCAAATTATACAACCATGACTCCATGTGTTTCCCTATTGTTGACATAAAAATGTGTCCATCCCAAAACACATCTAGCACTACGTTTGCAACCCTCAACGATACCTAATGACGTGCCACTACAGGAATACCAGAAGTCTTGGTAAGTGATTCAGAAGTTCTGGTATGACAGGGCAAAGCACACGTTAGTGCGCCTTAGGACACCCTCTTCCGTCGAAGAGATCAATAAATGACGAAAAATAATTTGGCTTTAGCCTTATATTTAGATAGGTGGTCTTGCCTTGTAGCATAAAAAATTGACCTACACTCTTTCGAATAATCAAAGTGAGTTTTCGATGTAATTCTTCTCATCACTCCACTATTACTTACTTAAACAAGGCATACTCCAAAAATTACAAAATTGCATTACATGAACTTACAATTTCAAAAAAATACAATTTTTTAAAAAAAACATTCAAACTTAGACAAGAAAATAGGAAAAAAAATATAACAATAAAACTATAGTTAAAAAGAAATAATGTTCCGCACGTGCCACCATAATTTTAGGCTTAAGAGTATATGCAATTTTAGATGAGAATGATTCCTATCGGTAACCCGATTGGAGGAAAGAAAATCGGGCGCAACTAAGCTACTATATGGCTGCCATATTAGTATACTACTTTGCTTTTTCACCACTTTATCCATATATGTATACATGTGGCTATCTTCAAAATTTTTTTCCTCCTAAATTACTTATCGGATTTTCGATCCGATCGTACTATTATATTTGTTACAATTAATTTTTTTTATAATAAGAGATCACATGATTATTTTGCTAAAATATAATCATATGTTTATAACCGTTAATACTAAATGTTTCATACGTAATGCGACATGTTTCAACATATATTTTTAATGTATTACACATGAAAAATAAATATTTCAATGTCTTTTTTTTCACCTTGTATAGCATGACGTTTCAGATGTGGCTGGTAAAGTATCGGACATAACTACCCCTACTCTCTCTTCTACCATATACTTGCTCTCTCTTCATTCCATTCATGCATATAGGCTTGTAGCAATCTTTGAAATATTTTTCAACTAAATTACTTATCCAATATATAATCCAAACATAATATAATATTCATTATAATTAAATCTTTATAACAAGATATCGCATGATTATATTTTAATAAAAAATATGTTTCAAACCAATAAAACACATTGTTTCATACGTAATAGCGACCTATTTCAACATGTGTTCTTACTATGCTTCACAAATTCTTAAATGTTTCACCATGTACTACTCAACATTTCAGTCATCGGTCAATTGAAACGTTAGACCGTCTGATTTTTTTTTTTTAGGAAATCAGACGCTCGATTTGTAGAGGGCTTGAATTTTAGGTGACTGGAAATTTGTATTTTCAAGAGCTTAAAATCTAGCAATACATTTGAAAAGGACACGACTACATAGTGCACATTATTGGAAGTAACTACACTTCTAAAGGAGTTAAGAAAATAAATAAATAATTTAAATATACTCAATATTAGACTCATTTTATCACATATTTTGAGCAAAATGGATCTTAAAAGTAATATAAGGTCTAAAAATATATAGGTCATCAAAGATTCTATAAAAAAACATTATACTAGTGTAATGACATGTTAGCCTCAGTAGCATGCACGTGAATCGACATGATAACTAGCAGATAGTATGTTGTCCTCTTTTCCTGTCAAGTGGTCTCATTTCTTTGACTCTTCGTCAATATAATATTTACGTGTCCGTGTCTCAGTCAACATCAATTGATTGATCAATATAACAACTTTCAATGCTTAGATAGTTACCTCTATTGCAGAGCTAAGTTACTTCTACGATTTTACTAAATTACTTTTGAAATTAAGTAAATTACTTTAAATGTTTGAATATATTAAATATTAAATTTGTTTTATCGTATATTTTGAGTAGAGCACGATGGTACAAACAAAAATGAAAATAATATATGATTTAAAATATATAAGTCATCATTAGAAAAAGAATAGACTCGTGTAACCAATATTTAGTTTCGATGGTTGGTGGTGTATAGCGATACCTGACGCCACGAAGGTTCCTCGCTTTGATGCCATTGCAATGGAAGCAAGCCTATCTCTCCGACAACATGAAGACGCGGATGGATGGCTGGCGGAGCGTCGTGCCATAAGACAAAATCAAGAATGCTCTCCATTTAGATTTCCCACTTAAAGAAATATCCAAACGTAACTTGTGCAATGTACGGGTTAGAGACTAGTAGTAAATTAACTGCTCCTGTAATTAATTTTAACATCATATCATCTCATAGAGAGCACGGTAGCAGTAGTACCTTAATACTACATCCGTCCCAAAATAAGTGCAGCCATGGATATTCGTGTCTAACGTTTGACCGTTCGTCTTATTTAAAAAATTTATGAAAAAATTAAAAATATTTAGTCACATATAAAGTACTATTCATATTTTATCATCTAATAGCAATAAAAATACTAATCATAAAAAATTTTGAAATAAGACGAACGATCAAACATTGAATGTGAATAGTATAAAACTGCACTTATTTTGGGACGGAGGGAGTAATAGTTTTTCTCACGCTTTTCTCCATAAATTGAAGAAATGACAGAAAAGATAATGCAATGGAACGCCGGGCTCTCCGGCGAAGCCGACGCGTCCGGCAGCACAGCGCTCCACTTCGCCGCCTCGGCGGACGGACCAAAGATCGACATCGAGAACAGCTCACTCCTCCGGTGGCTCCTCTTGCCGTGCCCGTTCCAATGCCGCCGGACACCAACCGAACTTCTCCTGGAGACCGACCCGTCCTTGGCCTGCCAGCCGGACGGCGACGGCGACTACCCCATCCACGTCGCCGCGTCCGCCGGCAACCTGAGGCTCGTCGCCCTCTTGCTCGACAAGTGCCCCGAGTGCGCCGGCCTCCGCGACGCCCGCGGGAGGACCTTCCTCCACGTCGCCGTCGACCGGAGGAGGCAGGAGGTCGTGGGATTCGCCTCCGACGTCGATGGACGGGGTTTCCGGCGGCGGCGATCCTCAACGCGCGGGACGACGACGGCAACACCGCGCTGCACCTGGCGGTCGTGGCCGGGGTGCTGAGAGTGTTCTGGTGCTTGTTTCGGAATCGCAGGGTTTGCTTGGATCTTGCCAACAACGACGGCCTCACACCGGCTGACCTGGCCAGGAGTACCATTCCAGCGGGTCTTTACTCCAACAGAACGGTACATCACTTTTACCTCACTAGGGCATGTACAAAAATAGTGTCCGATATGGTCTTTTAAGTAAGACATATTATTTAAAGAATATACTGTTACAATAGTTGAGACAACAAGAACTCTTAATCATTAACGTACCAAAATATTTTTTTACTACCCTTCTTTTCTTTTCTCCACCCTCATACAACAAAATTTTCTTTAATAAAAGTTAAGAGTTGACTCTTACCTGTTGTCATGTATAGCAACCATGCTTTTTTTTTCTCTCCTCTCTCTCTTCCACGTTATCAAATTTACTTACATGGCAATAAAGAGAGACCGCTATTATACACGTTTGTACGTGCCCTTAGATCAGGCCCTTTTTAATAATGTTTTTCTTTTAAAAATAAATTCACAACAATTAAACTATTTTATATCAAATCATGTAAATCTGCATTTTGAAAAAAAAATAGTACGAATATACTTGTAGTATTGTATTTTTGTTAGAAACATGGAACGAACATAGGCACCCATAGCACGCGCACACACTATTTTTGTGAGCATCTTCAGGACTGAGTCGGTATATCTTGAGATTGATGAAGTCCTCTCTATTGATGGAAACGCCACCTACCACTAAAAAAATAAATAGCGGTAAATACGAGCCCCTTTATCAAATCTAGAATTTAAACTAGTTCTTAGAAAACCACACCGTCAACTAACTTAACTATTAATATTATAGCACAATAAAATATAATTAACTTTGATGGATAAACGAACCCATAAAATTCATATGCATAGTAGATTAGAAAAAAGTGTATGAAACTATAGCACCATAATACATGCTGTTATGCGCAACACAGTATAAAACTCATACGGTTTCGTACAATTTAGACCAAATATACAGGGATTTTATGAATTATACTCTAGATTTTATAAATTTGTTGGTGTATGAAACTGATGTCCAAAGTTTTAAAAGTAGTTTAATCGAATCTTAAAAGAGCGTCAAATATTATTTAGCACCGGAAGGAGAGAACTACATCGTTAAGCTAATCAAAATTGGGTAAAACTTTGCTCGTGTTGCTGCAGAACGCGCGAACGTGGATACTTTGGTGTCTAACAATAGCCAACGCCCTCAGCGGCGGAAACATCAGGCGCGATCACTTCCTGCAGCGGCACGTACCCAAGCTCGACGAGAGCGCCGAGTCCAAGAAAATGACGGAGTCGGCCCAGGTCCTGGGCGTCGGCTCCGTGCTCGTCGCCACCGTGGCTTTCGCCGTGGCCTTCTCCCCCCCGGGAGGCTACGTCGCAGCCGGCGCGCCGGCGCTGGCGGGGCGGTACGCCTTCGACGCGTTCATGTACGCCGTGGCGCTGGCCTTCACCTGCTCCATGCTCGCCACGCTCAGCCTGATGTACGCCGGCACGGCGGCGGTGGAGATGAATGTCCGGCACAGGTACTTCAAGAATTCCGTGTGGTGGATGCGCTTGTCGATGAGGAGCCTGCTGGTGGCCTTCGCGCTGGGGGTGTACCTGGTGCTGGCTCCGGTGTCCCGCGCCACCGCCGCCGGCGTCTGCGCCCTCGCCGCCGGCACGATGCTGTTCAGGAACAGGGAGCTGGTGCTGATGGTGAGCTGCGCGCACGTGGTGCGCAGGAGGATGGGGATCAGGGTCGTGCTCAGGATTGGAGCCCCGATCGGCATCGACCTGCTCATCTCCAACATTGTCTACTTGATCATCTTCGGTGCACCCTTCTGCACTCCGCTGTGCGTTCTAATTCTCTTTTGGAGGGTAGCGCCAACAGAGGTGCTCAGATATGTGTTGAGAAAGAGAATATGACTAGGTGCATCTGCATCTAGGTGTGCTACGGTATTAGTTGATTCGTGTCTACGGTGGTGTTTGGATCTAGGGACTTAATTTTAGTCTCTACATTTAGACACTAATTTAGAGTATTAAATATAGACTACTTAC